GGTTTGCTTTAATCCATATAAAGCTTTCTTCAACCGCAACACTTTATCTTCATGGTTTTTGACTACGAAGCCCAGCGGTTGTTCAACATAGACTTCTTCTTCAAGATAGACATTCAAGAAGGCTGACTTGACATCTAGTTGATGGATCTTCCATTTCATTTGTGCTGCCAAAGAGATCAACAAACGAATGGTCTCTATGCAGGCAACAAGTGCATAGACTTCTTCATATTCAATGCCTTGACTTTGCTTGTAGCCTTTAGCCATAAGTCGTGCCTTGTATCTCTCCCCATCTCCATCAGCATTCTTCTTTATCTTGTATACCCATTTCACTCCAAATGCTCGATGACCCTTGGGAAGAGTTGTTAACTCCCAAGTGTTGTTCTTCTCTATTAACTCAATCTCCTCCTCCATGGCTTGTCTCCACTTTTTGTTTGTAACAGCTTCATCAAAGTTCATTGGTTCACTATCAGCAAAGAGACAACATAAAAAATCAAAATTAGTAACTTCTTCTATGTCCTCATAGAGCTCTTGAATACTCCTTGTCCTTTGCGGCTGTTCATTTGAACTTTCTTGAGAAGGGGGAGATGCAACATTGGTTGGAGAAGGAGGTGGAGTTGTATCCTGCACAGGTTCCACGGTTTCTGATTCTTCTTCATCACCAAAGTATGGAAGAAAATCATATGAAGTTTCATCCCGAGCTTCCCAATTCCATGCCAATTCTTCATCAAATTCAACATCACGACTCACCACCACCTTACCGCTACTTGGGTTGTATAACTTGTAGCCTTTTGAAATCGTATCATAGCCAACAAACACATGCTTGACACTTCGATCGTCAAGCTTCGCTCTCCCTTAATGTGGTACATGAGCATAGGCTATGCTCCCAAAGATTCTCAAGTGCTTGACACTTGGCTTTCTTCCACTCCATGCTTCTTGAGGGGTTTGATCTCTAACATTCCTTGTTGGAGACCTGTTGTTTAAATAAACTTCACAAGAAACAGCTTCGACCCAAAATTCCTTGGGCATACTTTTAGCTTTCAACATACATCTAGCTATATTAAGAATCGTTCGATTCTTTCTCTCTGCAACTCCATTTTGTTGGGGTGAATAAGGTACCGTTAGAGGGATACGAATTCTATGAGATTGACAGAAGTCATTAAATTCGTTTGAAGTGAATTCACCTCCTGTATCGGACCTTAGAGCTTTAATTTCATACCATTTTCTTTATCCACAAGTACTTTGAAATTTTTAAAAGCAGCAAAAGCTTCAGATTTTTTGTTCAAGAAATAAACCCAAGTCTTTCTACTAAAGTCATCAATAAAGAGCATAAAGTATTTACTTTTACCAAAGGAAGGTGTATTGATTGGTCCACACACATCAGTGTAGACAAGCTGAAGCAGTTTGGTTGATCTTGACATGGCCTCCTTTGGTAAACTCCTCCTTGCATGTTTTCCAAGAAGACAATCTTCACACAATTGATTGGGATGACTGATTGATGGTATCCCATGCACCATGTTCTTTTCTCCCATTATTTTGAGTGCTTCAAAATTCAAGTGCCCAAATCGCATGTGCCAACACCATGATTCATCTTGCATATTAGCCTTCAAACACTTTGCATCAATTGTAAGATTCAGAGAAAATAATCTATTCTTTGCCATATGCACTTTAGCAATTAGAATTCCATTTGAATCTCTAAGCCAAAGATGCATATTTTTCATGTGGATGTCATGTTCATTTTTAAGAAGTTGGCCCAAACTTAAGATATTACTTTTTAATTTTGGCACATAATAAACATCTTGAATTAGCTTGTGACTACCATCTTTACGGGAGATCAGAATCGTATATATCCTTTCGATTTGAATATTTGAGGTATCTCCAAAGGATACATTAGCTCTCACCGTTTATTGATCTCCACAAATTTTTCTTTGCATCCACACATATGATTGCTTGCCCATTGTCCAAATACCACGAGCTGCAATCATCTCTGTCTTCTTCCTTGAGTGTCATCAACAACGTTGACTCAACTTCTTCTTTCTTGTCGTCAACAAGGTTAGCTTTTTCTTCAACATTGCTACGACATTCCCAAAAGTAGTGGCCAAATTTATGAAAATTATAACACTCAATTTTTGATTTGTCATACTTTTATCCATTATTTTCTTGGTAGTAGCCACGTCCTCTTCCTCCTCTTTGTCCACTACCACGATCTCTGAATGTTTGGTGAATTTTAACTTCATTGTTGAAGTTATTACTGTTACTTCTTCCTCTTCCATGACTGCCTCGGCCTCGTGTGTTTCCTTGATAGATCTTTTCACCTCCATAATCCTTGAAGGATGCATGAGTTTTAAGAAGTTGCTCCAGTGTCACTTCTTGTCTCCTTTTGATCTTTGCTCCGTGGGCCTGCAAAGAACCCTCCAATTGCTTCACCGTCATATAGTCTAAATCTTTAGACTCCTCAATAGCACACACCACAAAATCAAATTTAGGTGTTAAAGTGTGAAGGATTTTCTCTACCACACGGACATCTTCTATGTCCTCCCCGTATCTTCTTAGTTGATTTACAACAACCTTCACTTTTGAACAATAATCCGAAATGCATTCGGATTCTTTCATTTTTAAAACTTCAAAATCAACCCTTAGAGTTTGAAGTTTTACCTTCCTCACCTTGTCAACTCCTTGGAGAAAATTTTGTAAAATCTCTCAAGCTTCCTTTGAGGTGGTAGCATCGGCCACCTTCTCAAACATGGCATCATCCAAATATTGGTGGATGAGCGTGAGGGCTTGTTGATCCTTCTTCCTTGTCTTTGCCAAGACATCTTTTTCATTTTGAGGCAGAGCTTCCTCATTATCGGGTTTTGCATACTCTTTGTCTACGATTTCCCACACATCCTGGGAGCCAAGAATGACTCTCATGCGTAGACATCATTTCTCATAATTATCTTTTTTGAGTCGGGGGTACTGAAAGGACATCGGGCCGTTATTCGCCATGGCTCTGATACCACGTTGTTGGGAAAAATAATAATCCCGCCCAGGAATAATATCCACGGTAAAACAACAATAACACAAGAGAGTAACAAGGACACCAAATCTTTTAACGAGGTAAAATATAATACCCGAGCGGAGCAATATTACCACTATAATATTACAACTTAGTAGTGTCAAGAGACTACTATAACTTCGAAAGAAATAGTACTCTTTATGTTAAACACCTCACTACAATATTACTCACACTCAATATTTATCTCACAAACAATAATATGTGGATTACTCTCTCTACGCTCTATTGCACTCTCTCTCATTTTTGGTGTACTAAATGAGAAGTCGAAGGGTGCTATTTATAAAAGTTCTTGCACCAATTCAAACCAATCACAATGGTTGGTTTTGCAACTTGCAAACCTGTTTGCAAGTCTGTTTTGGTTATGCCATCGATTTGGTTACCAAAATCAGATTTGCTCATTTGCAACTTGCATTTGCAAATTGCACAATTTTGTCAATGTCCATTCAACTTGTTTTCTTCATTTTCTTTTTTTTTATTTCTTTTTATTTAAATGGGTCCCACAGAAATAACATTTTTATCGTCTCAATGTGAAGTTTGCGTACACATTACCTTCCTCAAACCCCACTTATAATATTACAGTGGTTTGTTGTTGTTTTGGCTCTTTTTTTTTATCTTATTTAGTTCATCTGATGCTGTCTTTATCTTTCCAAAAGACTAGTAACATCCATGTTATTTTCTTTAATTACCCATTGTATTGAGCAGACGTTTTGTGAAAGAAAGGCAGATATTTTCAAAAGTTATTTCTCACTGTTTGTAGCTGTTACAAAACTTTTAATAGAAGGGGAAGAAAAAGTAAATCCACCTAAATTAGTCCACAATTCATAGAAGTTGTACACGTTGCCTTATGCTACAGAACCTTCAATCCTTGGTATTTTATCTTGGATTTATTTTGTTCATAAGTCAAACCAAAAGTAGAAGAAGTTATTCACAGGCCAATCATTGAAAAAAAAAGGAAGAAAAAAGAACAAAGACAAAATAGTATAGTATAAGAATGAACTAGTTGTACAGAGCATTGAACAAAAGAATGGCCACTTGTCTCGTTGGCTCATTTAGCAATGTGGACCACTGAAAACTTCAGTACTAAATGAACCTTACAATGAAGGTTATTTAGTTTCTCTTCTCCATTTAAATTCTGTATTTGATTATGGTACTGCTCTCTGGCATGGGATGGTTGAGAAAGAGATTTATTGAGAAATAACAGAAGAAATATAAACGAAATTTCTGAAGATATTGATAATTTTGTCTTTTTGATTCTATCAAAATTTCAACTTGGTAATAATTAAAAAAGAAGAAGAATATTGTGGTTGGTAGAAGCCCTTTTAACATATCTAATGCTTAGAACCGAAACCAATTTATAGCTAGCAGACAATGTGCAAGAAGTTTATACACTTCAATAGGTCAAGCAAGTCGCGCTGGCATGCGAGCAATTGGTGGCCCATTATTGTTAGTGGCATACTTAGGAATTTGTGCAAGCGGGTTCAATCTTAGAAGTACATAACTTAAGTCGTAAAATAGTAGTTGTCAAATGGTTCAAATAAAATATTTATACAAAATTTACGCAGTTTTAATCGTAATTTATACATATACACAATATTATTTTTGATGAAGCGGGTTCAGTTGAACCCGCTTGCCACCACGTGCGTCCGCCACTGATTATAAAAAAAATTCATTTTTTTGTTACATATTATAAAGGAGTGTATATATTGAGTATCTCACCCGTGACTTATCTTTACTTTCTTCTCTGCAACCCATGCTTTTCCTTCTAGTTTCCAAGCAACAGATTCCCTGTTAGACTTTTCCAACCAAAACAAGAAACAAATTCCTGACTTTTCATTCTACCTTCCATTGTTCCTCCTTCCACCATTAGAAAGCACATCAACTTCAACAAAGCAACGGACGTAATGGTTGGTTTTAGTGAAGAGACTGAAATGCTTATAGAGAAACTTGTGACAGGACATCGGCAATTAGATGTGATCTCAATTTTTGGAATGCCAGGACTAGGAAAAACAACTTTGGCTAAGAGATTGTATGATCATGAAGCTATTTCAAATCGCTTCTATATTCGCTTATGGTGTTGTTCTTCCCAATCTTATGATAAGAGAGCTCTCTTGTTTGAATTATTGGGTCATATTTGTGAGCTTGATGATATTACCAAAGAAAAAAGTGACGATGAGCTAGCTGAGAAGCTATACAGATATCTGAAGGGAAAGCGGTACCTTATTGTTGTGGATGATGTGTGGAGTTCTAGTGCATGGGATGATATAAAGAGACCATTTCCAGATGATGATAAACGAAGTAGNTCATTTGAAGTATTTGGAGCTGCGGCTGTATTCTAATTACATTCCGAATACAATATGTAACCTGAAGGAGCTGGAGACATTTATAGTGACCGGAATCTATCGTAAAGCCTGCATCCCAAAATCCATTTGGGATATGACAAGCTTGAGACATCTGCATATAAGTTGTCTATGTACCTCTCAACTATTAGAGGATCTTAACAACATGAGAACATGTTCCGATCTGGTTATTTTTCCTGGGATGCATTACCAGAATTTTATGAAAAGATTACCCAATCTTGAAAAGCTCAGTTGTCAATTATATGGTTCAGGAAAGTCATCTAGCAATTTCTTTCCTAGTTTTGACTCTCTCAGTCAACTAAACTCTCTCAAGATTGATTTCTCTGGGGAATTGGTAGATCCCTATGGTTTTGAAGATTTTACATATCCATCAAACCTCAAGAAATTAACTTTAGCATGTCTTGAACTCCCCTGGAATAGAATCTTAATCATCGGCAGATTATCCAACCTTGAAGTTCTGAAACTAGAAGGAAATGCCTTCAGAGGGAAACAATGGGACGTTAAGGATGGGGAGTTTCCTAACCTTAAAGTTTTGAAATTAAAGGATCTACCAATATCAGAATGGACTGCCTCTGATGACTCGTTTCCCAACCTAGAGAAAGTACTTGTGCGATGGTGTTGGAACCTAGAGGAAATCCCTGAAAGTTTTGGAAGCAAGTGTACGATGCAAATGATTGAGGTAAGATCATGTCGCTACTCTGTTGTAAATGCTGCCCTCAAAATTAAGGAAATACAAACTGAGGAGATGGGGAATTCTCAATTCAAGGTCATTATTTGTAAGTGAAAGTTGACAGTCTTGATGGTCGTTCAGTTTTATGTTCTGGATTTTAAAGCGGATGCTACACATGGTATGCAAGGACCTCCTGTTATTTGCTTGATCTAAGAGTTCAATCCCTATCTGAACCTCCTCAAGTTCAGATATATAATTTATGGAGCACTGATATCTTCTCTTTCAATTGGCTCTTCTTTTTTCTTTTTTAAAATATATTACACTTGTTGCTATTATTTGATTGTAATCTTGATTAAGCTGTAAATGCTGCTTTGAAAATTAAGGAAATGCAAATTGAGGAGATGGGAAACTCTGAATTCAAGGTCAATATTTGGATTTGTGGAAGTCATGAGATTTGATCTGAAGGGTCAGGTTCTTGAATTATATGTAAATGAAAGGCCCTCTTGTAATTGGCTTGATCTTAGAGTTCAGACATACAGAGGTAGATCACTGGTCTTTTCTCTTTTAAGTAGCTTTTTTTTTCGTTTGTGAGATATTGTTTATTTTAAGGGAAACCTTGGCGTAATTAGTAAAGTTGATGTTATGTGACCAGGAAGTCACATGTTCTAGCCGCGGAAACAGCCTCTTACAGAAATGCAGGGTAAGATTGCCTACAATAGACCCTTGTGGTCCAGCCTTTCTCAAGACCCCGAGCATAGCGGGAGTTTAGTGCCCCAAGATAGTTTATTTTCTGCTAGCATTTTCTTGTTCTACCAGACTATTATAGTAGGAGCAACAACTAGAGTAATTTTCCCTGTATGCCGCACGTGCTGCTTTCAAAATTAAGAAACAACAAACTGAAGAGATGGTGATTTCTGAGATCATTAGCTGGCGGTGCAAGTCATGAGTTTTGGTCAGAAGGGTTGTTCAGATGTATTAGATGTGATTATCAATTTGCTAGCAGTGCAACAAACTGTTTCCATGATTGAGAAAGATATTTATCGAGGAATAAAAGAAGAAATATAAATGAAATTGCTGAAGATATTGATAATTTTGTCTTTTTGGTTCCATCAAAATTTCAACTTGGTAATAAATAAAAATCAAGAAGAATATTTTGGCAGATACAAGCTCTTGTAGAATACCTTTGCCTAGAACTTAAATCAATTTATAGCTAGCAGATAACGTGCAAGAAGTCTACGCTAACATTTCAACACGTCAAGCAAGTCGTCTGGCTCGCATGAGCAGTGGCGAAGCCAGAAATGTTTCCAAGAGTGTTAAAACTTGAAAGAAATAAAAAAACATTCCGACAAAGGGTGTTGAATATAGGTTTTATATATCTAAAATCAATATTTTACTTATATACACAGTGTATTTTTCGGCGAAGGGTGATCAGTTGACCACCCTTTGCTAAAGGTGGCTTCGCCCAGAGGCGGATCCAAGATTTTAAGTTTATGGTTCTTGTCGCAATCTCAAATTAATATACAATAATAGCTGAGTTCACAAATAGATATTTATAGATTTAATAATTTTTTTAACAAAAATACAAGGTCTACGCAAAAGTTACTGGGTTCCCGGGAACCCATATATTATACTCTAGATCCGCCCCTGGCTTCGTCCATGGGCATGAGAGCTATTGGTGGCCAATTATTATCAAAACACATTCGTAACTTGTGATCTAAAATAAGGAATAGACATTGGTGTGACTATAAAATCATGAAAATATGATGTTTAACGTTAAATTGTTTCTAAAAAAAAAATGTCATTCTTTCTGTTACATATTATACCGGAGAGTGTATCTATTGAATATCTCACGCGTAACTTATCTTTACTTTCTTCTTTACAACCCATGCTTTTCCTTCTAGTTTCCAAGCAAAAGGTTCCCGGTTAGACTTTTCCAACCAAAACAAGAAACAAATTGGAGTATTAGATTTTAGTTTCGTAAAGCTGCATACGACTCATGTAAATGCATTACAATTTCTGATTCATTTGAAGTATTTGGAGCTGCAGTTGTCTTCTGATTACACTCCTTATATAGAATATGCAACCTGAAGGAGCTAGAGACATTTATAGCGACCGGAATCTATCATAAAGCTTGCATTCCAACTTTTATTTGGGGTATGACAAGCTTGAGGCATCTGCATATAAGTACTCTATATACCTCTCAACTATTAGAGAATCTTGACAACTTAAAAACATGCTCCAATCTGGTTATTGATGCTGGGGTGTATTACCAAAATTTTATGAAAAGATTACCCAATCTTGAAAAGCTCAATTGTCAATTACGTGGTTCAGGAAACCATTTTTACAAATACTTTCCTGCTTTCGCGTCTCTTGGTCAACTCAAATCTCTCAAAATTGATGTCTCTAGGTTGTTGACATATCCCTATGGTTTTGAAGACTTTACATACCCCTCAACCCTCAAGAAATAATCTGGCATATCTTGAGCTCCCTTGGAGTAAAATTTCCTACATTGGCAGTTTGTCCAACCTTGAAGTTCTTAAATTAGAAGGAAGTGGTTTCAAAGGAGACAATGGGACGTTAAAGACGAGGAGTTTTCTAACCTTAAAGTTTTGAAATTAGAGAAATCAGGACTCTGAGAATGGACTGCCTCTGATGACTCGTATCCCAACCTACAGCAAGTACTGGTGCACGGGTGTTGGAAACTAGAGGAAATTCCTTATAGTTTTGGGAGTAGTTGCTCATTGCAACATATTGAGGTAAGATCATGTTCTGACTCTACTGTAAATGCTGCCCTCAAAATTAAAGAAACACAAATTGAGGAAATGGGAAATTCTGAATTCAAGGTTATTATTTGTAAGTGAGTCACAAGTCTTCTTTATAAGGATTGTTTCATTAGGTTTCTTTGTCATATTATTTAATTAAATCTTAAATGAAATGCTATGCATGGTATGTAAGGCCATCCTATAATTGCTTGATCTAAGAGTTTAATAGAAGAGTGTTTCTTATCAGACAATAAATAACTTCCAGTTTGTCTTTAAACTCTGTATTTGATTTTAGTAGTTTTCTTTTCAATATCCTAAGTTCCTACATTTTACCACATTCGTAATTGTTTAACGCGAGTCTCTTCCTGTTGGTTCCATGTAGGGCTCGTACCTGTTTTTACCAGATTTTTTTTTCAGTTTCAATACATCTTGAACTTACCCTCTCCTCTTTTTGAGACCGAGTGATGGTATCTTCTTCTATTTGTAACTTCGTGATGTATCTGTTGTAAACATCATTCCAAGTTGTTTCACGTAGACTTTCCTTGGTCGTCTCGTGGCTTCTGAGCTTTTCTCATTTAGATTACTGGCAAACACCATATCCGCACAGTTATCAGGTACGCGTGGCAACGTCATCCTTTCACGCTGGAATCTGTCTACGAATTCTCTAAGTAACTCCGAATCTCCTTGCTTTATTTTAAAAATATCCTCCATTTTTTTTTCGACTTTTTGAGGTCCCGAGTGTGCTTTGATAAACGAATCTGCAAGCTCAACAATAGAATTTATAGAATTTTCGGGTAAAAGAGAATATCATGTTAATGCTCCCTTAGTGAGTGTTTCTCCGAATTTTTTGACCAATACTGATTCAATTTGTTGTTTGGTCAAGTCGTTGCCCTTTACACTGGTTGTGAATGCAGTTACATGGTCTCGTGGATCAGTTGTTCCATCGTATTTTGAAATATCGGGCATCTTGAATTTTTTCGAAATTGGTAGAGGAGCAACACTTGGCTTCCAATGTTGTTGTGAATATTTGTCCATATCTATTCCCTTGATCACAGGTGGTACTCCAGGTATTTGCTCTATGCGGTCGCTTTGCTCCTTGACTTGTTTCTGTAAAGTTAATACTAAATTTTGTAAATCAGAATTAACTGTGTTGACTGGTTCTCCATCACGAGACTCGTTGGGAGTTCCACCACTGCCTGAATTAACGAGTCCAGAACGAGGGTTTTCCAATGTGTTGTTATTTGGAATTGGTGTTGGCGGCACAACCGGCAACTGGCTGGTAAGAGACTGGAGACCGTTGTTGACCTGTTGAGCAATTAATTTTTTGAGAGCTTCATCGATAGCTTGTTCGTTTGCAACTCTGTCATTTTCATTCGATTCAGATCTGTCTGGAGTCCCCTCCCGTGATTTGTTGATGAGAATGTTGTGGCGAAGGAGGTGGGGTTCTGTCATCTTGTTCGTTCATTTGATGTTGTGGATCTTGGAGTGATAAATTGTGTTGGTTATTGTCGTTGACATTCGACATGATTGTTTTTGATAAAAGAATCGATTTGGAATGCAGACGATTATCAGATTCCCGGTAACAAAACCAATTTGTTTAACCAAAAATTAGAATTTCGGTCAAAGCTTATTTTTCGAAGAACTCAGATTACTGATAATCAAGTAGAAAAAGAAATAATTGGTGTAAATAATAACTGAATAGAAAGCAAAGTAAATCAGTATATTCCAATAGTATCTCATGTCCTTACAAATGTTCATTCCTCACCTTTTATAGCTATTTCTAAGTAATACGTTTTTTTCCTTTCATAATGGTGTCATTATGGACAATTAATGACACTTAATGTAACGTTATAATTGGCAATCGTAACTGATTGAATACAGATTCTATAACGTTTTCCGTAATTAATGCCTATTAATTACCAATAATACGTATCTATACCCCTTTTGCTATTTAGGTTCATTCTTCCGATGCCTCTTCAGAATATCAAGAGGTTCGAGTACTTATCCCTTCTGGCTTTCTTGGATCTTTGCCCGTGCTTGCTAAAGCTCGTGCCTCTTCAACTATTCTTTGTCAACTGTCATTCTTTTACCAGTCCACGTGTCATGACATGTCACCACATAATTAATTCGATACATTAACTTGATTTTTTCCAATACAGATAGTCCTCTCACTTGCCATTTATTCATCAATAGAATATTTGGTAAGTGGATCTCATTAAAGCGGAAATTCTTGCCGCCATTATACCTTCCCTAGAACTGATGCTTCACATGTCACTTCCATTTAATGCTCGCGATGTGTGGCATCTTCTGACTGGTTTTGCAACTTTTCAGCGTCTTTTAGGGCTTTTTTGTGGTTTCATCAATTACGAAGCGACAGTTTCCATCATGACGTTTCCAGCATTACACTTTTTTCTTTGACGGTTGCTTCTGAGTATAGATATAGCTTTTGTCTTTGTCTTTCTCATAAAAGGTTTCATATCTTAGAATATTCACTATTGTTTTCTTCTTCCTCGTACTGCCATGTCTTCTTCAAACCCTAATCCTCGAAGAGTCCCCATTGTTGATGATCTTCCTCTTGCTCCTGTTAGAAGCAGAAGAAGAGGAAGACTTCGTAGTTTAGGGTCTTCATCTATACGGGGTACTTCTTTACCTCCAGTGAGTTCTACTCCCTCTTCTAGAACTAAGGGTTCTTTTTCCCATAGTCCTTCATCTAGAAGTAAAGATTCTAATTAACCCATTCGTGAGCCTTTGGTAGATGAAATTGTCCCCGCTGAACTATCTTTCTACACTAATAGAGAATCGATTAGAAACCAAGTTTCTTCTATGTCTTCTTTAAATCGTGCTGATATTTATCCTTCTCAAATTACCGAAGCTCTGATCTCTGCTGTTCGTAGGGATTGTCGTTGGAGACCTAATTTCCCTATTATAATTCCTAATGCGAACCAAAGAATTACATCCTACTTGACCGGGTTTTCTTTTGTGTATACATACCCCTTTACGCTGAATTTTAAACCCCCTATTGATCCTGTTATTATTGAATTCTATCATTTTTTCGACGTTTGTCTAGGATAGATTGGCCCCATTGTGTGGAGGGTTGTTGCTTGTTTAAGACATTTAACAAGGTTGGCTAATTTGTCTTTTACTTTCTTTTATTTGATTCATCTCTACTCCCCTAAACTTTTCCGTCATGAGATTTTCACTTTAGTGGCGAGAAGTAAGAGAGTGTTATTTAGCCCAGAGGATGATAAGGACCGTGGCTGGTATGCCAGGTTTGTTGCTGCCCCCATTGTTAGTTTAGTGCGAAGAAAATGTTCCATTT